TTCTGGGTGAAAGTACCTGATGGAGAATCACTTGTAGGAACAAAAGCCACCTGGGAACCTATGACCTGGGAGCTTTAGTAATGCCGAGTACAAGTTGCTGCTACCTTGGTTGATGGAATACCTTTGGCTATGTGCCTTAGGGTGGATCTGGCCTAGCCTGGCCCTGCAGGTACAAAAAGCACTGGTGTAGGCCAGAAGGGTTTGGTGCCCTTCATTACCCTAAAAAGTTTGCCCAAGTCCAGTATGGGCCTTCTTGAACTTCACATCACTCCACCTCTCCTTTCTCTGTGCCTTTCCTCCTCTCTGCACATTGTCAGCACTTGAGACTCACCATGAGGGATTGCCACTTCCTCCTGGCTGGGTGTCAAGTACCTGGGCCAATTGGCTCACCAGAGTGGTGGAAAGTCACTTAAGTCATTGCCTTGCCATTGATCGGTTCTACCTTGATTTTGGGGGAAAAAAAAAAACAGTTGCCGCAAAGTTGATCCCCTCATGGTGGGTGACCCTGTGTGTGTCAGACTAGAACTGTGTGCCTTAGGGTTTTCAATGGCTTGATTTTTTTTTTTTTTTAATGTGATTTGGAAAGTTTACAAATTCATTTTCCATACAGAAGCTCACATACACTTTGTCTCAAGACATTAACTACAATTTACCACAATGCAACAACTCCCCTCCCACTTCCTCCCCATAGTTATCCTGTGTCCTTCCCTCCGTGCATTCCTGCCCCCTGAACTGTCTACTTGTGCATACACAGCCCATCTATTCTCCCATGATTGATCTCTCCAAGGAGTGTATCTACCTAATGTAAACATTCAGCTCATATGCTTCTTTTTGTTTGGCTAGAAGCCATGGGAGTGGGTTCAATTCCAGACCTGAAGGGCAGCTAGGGGCCATAGTCTCTGGTTCCATCAGGCTCCGTGAGACCAGCAAATCTGTTCCCTTTTTTTTTTTTTCCCAAATGATTCTGAGTTTTGTTCCACATCTTTCTCCCACTTTATCCTACATAGATCGCCTTCTAAGCGGATGACAGTGGTAGCCAGGCACCATGTAGTTCTTCTGGTCTCAGTCATATAGGCTGAGGATCACATCGTGTACCAGTCACTTGGACTAGTTGTTTCCGTGCGTCTTTGGTTTTCTTCTTCTTTGCTTTGGACGAGGAGAGACCCATCATTGCATCTAGATAGCTATTTGCAAGCTTTTAAGATCCAAGTCCTTACTTGTCAAAGTAGGACATGGAATGATGATTTTGTGTAGTGTGTTATGCCAATTGACCTTGACCTACAACCATGGTCCAGAGCCCACAGGTCCAACTACTCACTCCCTCTGGGTAGCTGGCTGTGGCCAAGAAGTAACTATTGTCTCTTTACAAATACACTTGTAGAAACATTGTCTGTCAGTGGCTTGATTTTTTGGAAGTAGATTGCCTGGGCCTTTCTTTTGAGGCACCACAGGGTACACTTGAACCTTCAGCCTTTCTGTCAGGAGCCAAGTGCATGAACTGTCACTATCCAGGGCATTTTCAGGAAGCCATCTTTGTTCATGGCACTTTGGAGGCTGAAATTAGGGCCTGACCCCAACAGCTCCTAAAATGGCTAATTTTAGATAATACATGATACTGTGGTCCCAGGGTTGTGGGTAGTTGTCCCAATTAGGAAAAAGGTCACAGAGCTAATGGCTCAGATGAATACCTAGAGGGTTCCTAGGAACAAAACCTGGGAGTTGACTTACAATTCAATGCCTGCAGGTACCACCAAACCTCATGGAAGTGACCAAGACCCTCTGGTTGTCACATAGTTGAGTGAAAAGGGTTCCCAACACCACATAACTGCTTTTGCATACAACCTCTCAGACCCCAGCCTTACTTCTTTGACCTCCTTTTTTTAAAAAAGGGTAGTGTTTTGGTTACTTAGCACTGCTCTCACAAGGATACATACCACAAATTGGATGGCTTGAACAAACAGGAGTTTATTTTTACAGTTTGGAGACTTTAAGTCCATGTTCAAAGTGCCAGGGTCTAGGGGCTGGGTGAAAGCCCCTTGGCCTTAGGCTTAAGGTCTGTCTCCTGCTCCCGGCCCACTGGAGCTAGAGGCTTTTCTTCACTCAGCTGCTGGCTGCTGAGGCTGACAAGCCCAAGGTCAACAAGTAACAAGGCATAGTCCTGATATTACCAGACCACACAGCAGGCCATTAATTCAAATCCATTGCAAGTCCCAAGGTCAGCAGAACATGGCAGGCTGCTGAACAACAACACAGCTACATACAGGGTTCAAGGGTGCCATCAGCTAGAGACCACTCCCAAATCTGCTGCTTACATACAAGAAGTAGCCCACATCCCTAAAGCAGCTACTCAGCTGCTTATGGTAGGTCCGTCCCACCATGGATTTGATTGCCAGTCTCATCATGGGGAATGACTACCACCAGCTGCCCATCCACTCAACCAGACCCAACCAAGTTGACATACAACTTTAACTGCCACAATTCCACTCCTTGTCAACATGGCACCTGTATAGATCTTCAATGGGTGGCATCTGTACAGATCTCCTTCACTGGGTGGCTCCAGTCCCCTAGTTCCTGAATGGCAACCTCACCCCCTTAGCCTGGCGGGCCCCGTTCCCCTCTCTCTTGGGCATGGCAGCCCTGCCCCCTCACCTTGGGCAGCTGCTATGACTCCATCCCACTGGCTCACACGAATGAGCAGCCCCACACTCCAGAACCAAGTTGGTGCAGGTCTGGCTCTTTGAAACCTAGGGGGCTGTGGTGGTTCCACCCCAAAGGCCATGGTTCTACTCTTGAGGGTAAGGCAGCTTTGCTTTCCATTTCCTTGGTGTCTCTGCTTCTGCCAATTAATGCCAAAGGGCAACCCACTCAACCCGGAATCTTCCTGCCCCAAAGGACACTTAGCTTTCTTGCTCTTTGGACTGGCCAACCTGCTACTCCATCTCATGCTGGTCTCTTCTGCCAATTAATGCTCAAAGGCAACCCACTCCACCAGGAAGCCGCCTACCCGATGGCATCCCACTTTCTCCTCTGTGGGCTGGTAAGGCTGTCACTGTCTCATGCTGATCTCTTGGCTCTGCTCCTGCCATCTCTCATGCCACATGCCAGGATCTCTCTGCCAGGGTCTTGGGTCAAGGATGCACTCCACTCCTGTTTCCACATTTTAAGTATCTGTCAGAGCAGCACCCCACTCTCTCAGTATCATATCGTGTTCTGGTTACCTAGTGCTGCTCTGACAAGAATATACCACAAATGGGATGGCTTCAACAAACAGGAGTTCTTCTTACAATTTGGAGGCTTTAAGTCCGAGTTCAAAGTGCCAGGCTCTAGGGGCTGGGTGAAAGCCCCTCAGCCTTGGGCTTCAGCTCTGCCTCTTGCTCCCGGCCCACTGAAGCTAGAGGCAACTCTTCACTCAGGCAGCTACTGGATGTTGAGGCTAACAAGCCCAAGGTCGACAAATAAAATGGCACAGTCCCAATGTTACCAAACCACATGACAGGCCATTAATTCAAGTCCATTCAAAGTCCCCAGGTCGACAGAGCATGGCAGGCTGCTGAACAACAACACAACTACATGCAGAGTTCAAGTGTGCCCTAAGCTAGAGACCATTCCCAAAGCTGCTTTTTATATAAGGGAAGTGGACTACATCCCTGAAGCAGCTATTCAGCTGCTTGTGGTAGATCTCACCATGGAGTTGATTGTCAGTGTCATCATGGGGAATAACTACCACCAGCTGCCCAGCCACTCAACCAGGCCCAACCAAGTTGACATAGAACTTCAACTACCACAGGTGGCCATCAGCACACACTCTTTCTTAGAAGGCCTAGCACCACAGCAATGTGAACTGGTTCCAGTTGCAGAGCCACATGCTCATTTTCTCCACCTTACAAACCCAAAGCAAACCTACTGCCATGGAGTTGATTGCGACTAATAGTGACCCTACAGAACAGAGCAGAACTGCCCCATAGGCTCTCTAAACCTGTAAATATGGAAGCAGACTGCATCTTTCTTCCATGGTTTGAACCTCTGAGCTTTTTGGTTAGGGGCCTAATACTTTACCCACTAAGGCACCAGAGCTCCCACCACCATACAACATGCTCCCATTTTTGTGGAACTTTTGGTAATTGGGATGTTTAAAATGCCAGTTGTGTGTTTTCCCCCTCAGCAACTCCTCACCAGCTCTAAACACTGCCAGCCTGTCCAGCAGAGCATCTGAAACCAAACTGTAGGAAGGGGCATAGGGCACACTGTTCCTTTGGCCACAAAGTTGGTGAGCTTTTGCGCGGGTCCGCTACGCCCGCTTGCTGCCTTCTCACGGCAAGGGCTTTTGCTACTTCCTTCCACAACAAGCACAAGGGCGGCCCGTGATGCTTGGAACGCCAGCCGGCCTCAGCAAATCTGAAACTGACTGTGGCCTGGCCTGCCACGCAACCAAGGAGCTATGCTTAAAACATTTGACTGCTAACAGAAAGGTCAGAGGTTCGAATCCACCAGCAGCTCCGAGGGAGCAAGTCGGCTTCCGTAAAGAATATGCCCTCTGGGCAGTCCTGTAAGAATCGACTGACAACAATGGGTTTGGTTTGGACTATCCTGACTTTTCGCTAGTTATGGCCTTTGGTTCCAACACTCCATCGACAACTGGCGTCCTTCCTATCACAACAGCTTGAAGCTCTCCTTATCAGTGATGAAAGACAGCACTAAACCGCCAGGATGGTACAGGGGGAGGGGGAAGGACTCATACATAGTTCACAACTTGACGTTGACAGGGAGGTTACCAAGCGTCGCACTGTCTACTTGCCTAAGCACCACCCTCAATCGGCTAAGAAAGTAGCCAACCCAAGGCGCAGTTCCTCCCAGACGGGCCCCGCCTCTTCTGGATCTTGAAAATGTTCAGGCGCCGTTTCCGGCCCCGCCCCCACTGCCGACTCAGAGGCCTTGGGCCAATCTTCCCTCTGCGTGGGGCTGACAGCCTCTGGGCGGTGCGGCTTGGAACTCTGGGGAGCATGGATGGCACGTGTGAAGAGAACTCGGCAGAGCATGGGAGCGACCAGGAGGATTCTGACTCCGCGGAGGCCCCAGTCCGGATCCGGGACACCCCGGAAGACATCGTGCTGGAAGCCCCAGCCAGCGGTCTGGCTTTCCATCCGGCCCGCGACTTGCTGGCGGCGGGGGACGTGGATGGGGACGTGTTCGTGTAAGTGTTGGTCGGGGCCACGGACGTGGTGGGGGCCGGGATTGCCCGTCCTAGAATCTCCCTGGGGTTGGAGCTGGAGTGAGGAGAGAGCAGAGAAATCTTGCGAGACCCAGCAAGCCTTATACGTTCAGTACCATATGTTGTTGTTGTTAGGTGCCATCAAGTCGACTTCGGCTCATAGCGACCCTATCTATGTACAACAGAACGAAAAACTGCCCCATTGTCCGCCATCCTTTAGTAGTCCTTGCTGTACTTTAAGCCCATCGTTGCAGCCATTGTGTCAATCCATCTTGTTGAGGGTTTTCCCGTTTTTTCGCTGACCTACTGCTTTACCTAGCATGATATCCTTCTCCAGGAATGGTCCCTTCTGATCACATGGCCAAAATGGGTGATACGAAGTCCAGCTATTCACGCTTCCAAGGAGCATTCTAGGAGCTCTGGTAGCACTACGGTTCAAACCCACCAGCCACTCCTCGGAAGGAAGGCTGGGCAATCTACTTCCGTAGTGATACTGCCTCGGAAACCCAAGGAGGGGTCGCTATGAGTCAGGTCCAACTCCACGGCACATGACAAGGAGTATTCTGGCCGCATTTCTTCCAGGGTAGATTTATTTCTTCTTTTGGCAGTCCACGGTGTTTTCAGTATTTTTCGCTAACACTGTAATTCAGAGGCATCAACTCTTCGGTCTTCATCTTCCTTATTCATTGTCAAGCTTTCTCATACATATGAGGCCATTGAAACTTGAAGTCTTGAAAGTGACATATTTGCTTTTAAACACTTTAAAGAAGTCTTTTGCAGAGGATTTCCCGGTGCAATACGTCATCTGATTTTTTGACTGTTGCTTCCATGAGTGTTGATTGTGAATCCAAGTAAAATGTAATCCCTGACTTCAGTCTTTTCTCCATTTATTGCGATGTTGCTTATTGGTCCAGTTGTGAGGATTTGTGTTTTTTTATGTTGAGGTCTAATTCATACTGAAGACTGTAGTCTTTTATCTTCATCAGTAAGTGGTTCAAATCATCCAGCAAGAAGGCTGTAACATTTGCCTTTTAATAAAGTAAACCAAAACCAAATTCGTCGCTGTCCAGTCAATTCTGACTCACAGCGACCCTATAGAAAGGAGTAGAGCTACCCCGTAGAGTTTCGTGGCTGAAAATGTTTACAGAAGTGGACTGCCACATTTTTCCTGTGGAGCACCGGGTGGATGCTACCTTTTGGTTAGCAGCCTAGTGCTTTAACCACTGTGCTATCAGGGCCCCTTTCCAATAAATTACTGCACAGAAATATTTTCAAAGAACTGAAAGGAGGCCAGAGTGTCTGGAATGTCGTAATGGAGCAGAGAGACTGTAGTAGGAGCAGAATCCAAAATAACATTTTTCATCAAAGTATTGCAACAGGCTCAGCAGGACCCTTTAATTTGCTTATTGCCCCTCTCAAATTTTTCATAAACACAAATCTGATTAGGTGCTGCCTTGATTAAATCCTTCAGTGGTCCACCAATGTTCTTTGCAGCACTCTTCACAATAGCCAAAAGGTGGAAACAACCTAAGTGTGTCCATCAACAGATAAATGGATAAATAAGATATATACACATATAAAATGGAATATTAGCCATAAAGAGAAATGAAGTCCTGATATGTGTCACAACATGGATAGACCCTTGAAAACATGCTGAGTGAAATAAGTAAGTCACAAAAGGACAAATACTGAATAGTCTCACGTATATGAAAGTAAAGCTTATTATTGGTTACCAGGGGTAGAAGGGAGGGGAAAGGGGAGTTGGTTTTTAGGAGGACACTGAGTTAATGTTAATGGTGGTAGAATATTTGGAAAAGGATAGTGATAGTTACACAGCATGAATGTAATCAATGTAATTGAGTTACACATGTAAAAATTGTCGAATCGGCACTACCAACAAGAAAAACTTCAGTGGCTTAGCCCTGCTCTTAGAATCGAGACAAAACTCCTTATTTTGGCTTTCAAGACTGGTACATACGCCCCATGCCTACTCTCCCCATTGCTTCCTATGCTCATTCATCCTCACCTTTTCATGTATCTTTAAGTCTCAGTTCCTTTGCACATGCTGTAGCTTCTACCTGGAAAATTCCTCTGCTTTCATTTTACCTACTGTCCCTCCATTCTCTTCCCTCTTCCTCCATGCTTCAGTCTAATTAGGTTACCTGTTAGATACTGCCATGGCACCAGGTACCTTTCCTTCATATAAAATTGACAATGATTTAATCATAAGGAATCCCTAGGTGGTGAGGATGGTTAGTGTGCTCAGCTGCAAACCAAAAGGTTGGAGGTTCGAGTCCATTTAGAGGCATCTAGGAAGAAAGCCAGGGAGCTCTGGTAGCGTAGTGCCTAAGGCACTTGACTGCTAACCAGAAGCCTGGCGGTTCAAACCCACCAGCTACTCCTGGGAAGGAAGGCTGGGCAATCTACTTCCATAGTGATACTGCCTCGGAAACCCAGGGAGGGGTCGTTATGAGTCGGGTCCAACTCGAAGGCACATAACAACAACAACAACAGGAAGAAGGCCCTGGCAATCTACTTCTGAAAAATCAACCATTGAAAATCCTATGGAGCACAGTTCTACTCTGACACGCATTGGATTGCCTTGAGTCCAGAAGGCAACTTGTTTGGTGTAATCATTCATCTGTTCGTGTAATTATTTGAATGCTTGTCTCCTTTGCTAAAGAAATGTTTTCCAGACTTTTCAAACTCACCCCACAGTAAAAAAGCCTTTTAAATTATGTCATTGAAGATTTTAACCAGGAGAGTTGTGCTATCAGATGTATTTATGACTATGTGTGAATATTGTTGAAATGGGAAACTTTTTGCTGCCTATATATTTAACACAGTAAAAAAAAAAAGGAGCAGGTTGCCTCCCCCCAGAAAAGTTAATACAAGTTGCTTAATGTATTTAAGCTTCATTTCCCTCATTAGCTGTAAAGGCTTTGATCAAATTAACTTCTACTTTCTCTTTTTTGGGAACTCTGGTGACTTAGTGCCTAAGGCATTTGACTGCTAACCAGAAGACTGGTGGTTCAAACCCATCAGGCACTCCTTGGAAGGAAGGTTGGTCAAGCTACTTCCATAGTGATGTTGTTATGTGCCGTTGAGTCAGACCCGACTCCTAGTGACCCCTCCTTGGGTTTCTGAGGCAGTATCACTACGTAGATTGCCCAACCTTCCTTCCGAGGAGTGGCTGGTGGGTTTGAACCGCCAGTCTCCTGGGTAGCAGTCAAGTGCCTTAGGCACTACGCTACCAGAGCTCCCTCGTAGTGATACTGCCTTGGAAACCCAAGGAGGGTTGCTATAAGTTAAAATCGACTCGACAGCAGTGAGTTTTTTTTTTTTCCTCTTCTTTGAAAACAGGAGTAATAATACCTATCGAGCAACTAATACAGTGCTTGAATACTGTTGTTCAACAAATGTTAAGTTTTTTCCAACTATCTGTATTATAGTGTCAGACACTTGGGAGTCATCTTAGACCTCCATGCTATACCTCCCCACTTCTCACCCCCCCAAGTTGCTTCAGTTATCAAGTTCTGTTCTGTTTCCCAGAGGATCTTAAATATACATCTTGGTTCTTTCCTTCTCCACCCTCAGTCATTGCCTTCTGGTGAGCCCTACTTCTCTCCATGACCGTTCTGAAGAGATCGCTTTTCCCTGTACGATTAAATTTAGACCTTTGTGGCCTACATGATCTTAAGCCCAGTTCAGCTTGTTTGCCCAGATTCAGCCATGCCACTTTCTTACCACTTCAACCTCCTCGTTCCTTGTCTTTGCTCTGGAAGAGACTTTGACATCTGCCAGGTGAACTGTTTATTTTTCAAAATCCAACACACATCATCGTCTCAGTTTGCTTTCCAGTGCTCTCTTCTCCCTTCCCAAGCATTCATTCAATCTGTGGCCGTTTCCATGCAAGGCATTGTGTTAGGCACTGGGACAAATAAGTAGGCCCAGTCCTGCTGTCCTGGAGTTTGTCAGTTATTTATTTAGCCCTTTTTGAGGGTCCACTCTGAGGCAGGCACTAAGGATCCTCTCTAGATAGCTTAAAGATTGGTGATGCCTCTTTGATCAGTCTCTGTTTTGAACTTATCTCCTTTTCAACACCTGGTCACAATGTGGTGTAATTGTGGATTTCTCTTGCTCCTGCCACCTGGAGTACAAGAGCCCTGCTTTACTGATTTTTTCTTCTTCTTCTCTACTTCTGGGCCTGATCTTCTTTCATTTATTTAACACTCATTTCTTGCCTCCAGTGGTCCAAGCCCACTCTTTTCACAAGGTGGGGCTTTTAAGAGTGAAACAGGGAGGTAGAGACACTCCGTGGAGAGATGAGTCATGGGAGCACAGAAGGGTTGTGTATGCACAGAGAGCCAGGGGCGGGGGAATAGTAATTATGGGGAGAAAGTGAGAGGTGAGCTGTTGTGGGAAATTACAGTCAATGTCATGAGACAAAATATATGTGAGCTGCTGTATGGAAAGTGAATTTTCTCTGTAAGCTTTCACCCAAATCACAATAAAGATTTTAAAAAAAAGTGAAATGGGTGGGGTGGGAAGGAGATCACAGAATCCCTCAGCAAATATACTGTGAATTAATGCATATAAAATGAGAGATCTAACATTTGAAGCTCACTAAAAATGGGATGGTAAGCTCATTGGGCTTGGAGTATACAAACAGGAACTCCTAGGTAGGTGGAAGGTTGGTGGTTGGTCTCTCCTTCCATGCATCTGAGGAGGGGTCTAGGGTCATTCACAACCCCCTCCTCTCTCCTCAGCTTTTCTTACTCCTGCCAAGAGGGAGAAACCAAGGAGCTCTGGTCCTCGGGCCACCACCTCAAGTCTTGCCGGGCTGTGGCCTTCTCTGAAGATGGACAGAGTGAGTACTGGGGAAGGCAGCTAGCAGTATGGTGGTGTGAAGGGAGCAGTGAGCAGCACCATGACCTGGGTACCTTTTTCCCCTAGAACTTGTGACTGTCTCCAAGGACAAAGCCATCCACATTCTAGATGTGGAGCAGGGGCAATTGGAAAGACGCATTTCTAAGGCTCATGGGTAAGGGGACCCAACTGTATATGGGTGTGTGCATGCAGACAAGAGGTGAGGTGAGGGGCAAGAACTGGATCCCTATTGGGATAAAGATGCTCTGAAGTTTTACATCTGTGTCCTCAGAGCCCCTATCAACAGTCTGCTGCTGGTGGATGAGAATGTTCTGGCCACTGGGGATGACACAGGTGGCGTCCGGCTCTGGGACCAGCGGAGGGAGGGCCCCTTAATGGATATGCGACAGCATGAGGAGTACATCGCCGACCTGACTGTGGGCCCAGCTAAGAAGCTGCTGCTGACAGCCAGGTACAACCTCAAAGCTGCCTCCCTGTATTAAATGTCTCCCTCAAAGACAGCTTATGACCAACCTATTGCTCTGCTCTCCATAGTGGGGACGGCTGCCTTGGCGTTTTCAACATCAAGAGGCGTCGGTTTGAGCTGCTGTCAGAGCCTCAGTCTGGGGATCTGACCTCTGTAACGCTCATGAAGGTATAGTTAGATATGGTGAAAAGGGGGTATGCTAGGGCCTTTGTCCTAGGTGGCTCCACAGACTGTGTTCCCTATCTCCCTGTAGTGTGGGAAGAAGGTGGCTTGTGGCTCCAGTGAAGGTACCATCTACCTTTTCAACTGGAATGGCTTTGGGGCCACAAGTGACCGCTTTGCCCTGAGAGCCGAGTCCATCGATTGCATGGTTCCGGTCACTGAGAATCTGCTGTGCACTGGCTCCACTGACGGAGTCATCAGGTGAGTGAAGCCAGGGGGGCCCTGGGGTCACAGAAAGGCAAGGTAGGCCCAGCTAGCCAGTACTAACGCTCTTCTCTCCCTGTCCAGGGCTGTGAACATCCTGCCGAACCGAGTGGTGGGCAGTGTGGGCCAGCATGCTGGGGAGCCCGTGGAAGAGCTGGCCCTCTCCCACTGTGGCCGCTTCCTGGCGAGCAGTGGCCACGACCAGCGCCTCAAGTTCTGGGACATGACCCAGTTGCGGACTATGGTGGTAGATGACTACCGTCGGCGTAAGAAAAAGGGAGGGCCGCTGCGGGCCCTAAGCAGCAAGGCATGGAGCACTGATGACTTCTTTGCAGGGCTGAGGGAGCTGGAAGACTCTATGACACATGGGGAAGAGGACAGTGAGGACGACAGTGACTGAGGGAGCTCTCCGGGTCGTCACTCAGCAGGCAGAGTCTTGCTTCCTGGGCTGGATCATGAGGGGCTGTCTTTGTGCAGCTAGTCTCTGGGTGGATGATTGGTTGCACTCGACTACTAATCTAAGAGCTGGCAGCTTAAACCCTCTCAGTGCTGCTGTGGAACAAAGGCCTGGAAATCTGCTTCTGTAAAGATTACAGCTGAGAAAACCCTATGGAATAGCTACTCTTTAAGAAAGAAGTGGGGTCACCATGAGTCAGAACTGACTTGATGACAATGTGTCTCTCCCTCCCGAATTGTGCAGCTCAGGAATATGCGGAGATAGAAGCCCAGGACTCGGGGTGATGCACTGGGGAATGGTCCTTGCCCTTCAATAGATGTTCACTTTGCCAGTGTGAGGAAGACAAAACTCTCAGCTGGGGCAAGACAATACAGACACAATGTACACCAACCAGGGGTTTAATATAAATACAACCAGCATAGAAAAACTCAAAACTATACATAAACGAAAACCAGAATGCCAAATGGTGGGGGCGAAGGGCAGACTGTCTGATCCTTTGGCTCAGCAAGCCCCCAAATAAAAATGAACCAAAATGATATTAAGAAAATGAAAGAGATTCATGCTAAGCTGTGGGAAGGGAGGAGAAGGTGTAGGTGTGTGTGTGTGTGTCACACAGGGAATCCACCAAAAAGACAACAAAGTCCAGTTAGATCCTGGGTTGGGAGGAAGACCAGGTCCCTCACCACAACTTAGACAGGTGCTATGGGCTCTGCCCCAGCAGAGAGCATATGTCAGGCCTGGAGCAGGGCTCATGCCCCTCCCCCTTTTGGGCTTAGATGGTGGCCACCCAGGCCTGCTGGGCTCTGCCTACCGCTTCAGGTTGCCTGTGGAAAGAGGATGGGGTCACTGCTTAACCATAGTACCTGCCTCAGGCCCAGGAGAGCACAGGAGGCTGGTTCCAGACTCACTCAGTGCTTCCAGCAGCCGTGCAGACACAGCATCCTTGGCCACCTCATGCCCATCCTGCCCTTCTGGGGCCAGCACAACCCAGATGAGGCCACTGTAGGGCAATGGATGCCCGGGGATCACCACCTGGTACCAGAAGCAGTGCCAGCCAGCAGGGCCTGTGCCTAAGCACTTGGTGAGGAACACAGGGCTGCCTAGCCTCATCTGCTGGCAGAGCAGTTGCAGGGCAGCTCGAGCTCCTTGGGGCCCTAGCTTGTCCCTTGCCAGGGCAAATCGGCGGCACTCTGGTTGTAGGCACAGAGGTGAGGGACCCATAAACTGCTGGCGGAGTCGCTGCTTCACATCTGGCTTGAGCCACTCCACAGTCACCTGCTCTCCACAGAGGCACAGTTGTCCTGCAAGACAAAGGCAGAGACAAGGGCATGTTTGAGTCCTGGGCCTAAATCCCCAACCCTGTGGTGTCATAGAGGCCTAGGTTTAATTTCTTTCCATTTACACCTGGAATGACTTTGGGCAAGTTAAATAATGTCCCTAGGCATCACTGTCTTTATTTATAACAGAGGTTTAATTGCTACCTTCTAAGTTCCTATGGAGGAGCTCTGGTAGCATAGTGCCTAAGGCACTTGACTGCTAACCAGAAGTCTGGCGGTTCAAACCCACCAGCCACTCCTTGGAAGGCAGATGGGCAATCTACTTCCGTAGTCATACTGCCTCAGAAACCCACGGGGGGTTGCCCTGAGTCAGGTCAGACTCAACCGCACATAAACAACAAGTTCCAATGGAGGAAGGTTGGACAATCTACTTCTGTGCCCAAGTCCTCACAATGGAAGGCACAAAACAACACAAGTTTCTATGGACTGAGTACTGGTTGAGGCAGGCCTACTTCATTACCATCTTAATAGCTCACCTCTATTGTGAGTGCTTGCTCTGAATTCAATTCTCACAACGGTGTGAAGATAAAAGATAAAGTGCTTAATTGGACTGCCTTGGGCAAACCCACTCAAACATTTCTAAGGTGGGAGGAAACAACTGTTTGGAGTGTTGAAGATTAAAGCTGGAGATAATGCAGGAGACCTGTTAAGTTTAGGTAAGTGGCAGCCGGTAGCATCACGAAAATAGTGTACAGTTGCAAACTCTGAAATGCTTGATCTTAAGAATTTTAATAAATAACATACTATACTGGTGTGTATAAAGTGCCTAACAAGAAGAGCTTTACCCCCAACCAGCCGCCTGTTGTGTGCCCTGGAGTGAGACCCACTCATAGTGACCCCTCCTTGGGTTTATTGCTTACAGAAGTAGATTGCCCAACCTTCCATCAGAGGAGTAGCTGATAGGTTTGAACCGCCAGCCTTCTGGTTAGCAGTCAAATGCCTTAGGCACTACGCTACCAGAGCTCCTTCCTACCAGCCGCCTAGTAGCCTCTTTCCCTTACCTTCCACTAGAGCCTTTTTGGCCATGGCAGCAGCGCGATGCGAGCTGAATTTGAGCAGCGCAATTTGAGCAATCGCCTGCCCCGGGCTGGGCAGCAGCAGCGCCTCCTGCAGGTCGGAACTCAGCGGCTGCAGCGCGAGCACTAGAGCGCAGCGGCTCAGACCCGGCGGCAGCCCGTCCACGCTCAGCTCGCACTTCTCGGTGCTGCGGCACACGAGGAGTGGGCAGGAGGGCCGCAGCTGGTGGTTGTGCAGCGTGGCGATGGCAGCCTGTGCCCCACGCCGCGAGCTGTAGCGAGCGTAGGCGAAGCCACGGTTCAGGCCGCTGAAGGTCATCATTAGGCGGAACTCGTAGAGGCGGCCCACGCGCTGGAACAGTGGGATCAGCTGATGCTCGTACACGTCCTGGGGAAGGCGCCCGATGAACACCTCGGACCCGGCCGGCGGCGGGCTGCCTACCCAGCCTGGGAGCAGGAAGGAGGGCACTGTCATTCACCGTGATCGTTCCAGGTTCAGGACCCAGAGCAGAAGGGGCCTATGTGCGCAAACGTCTGTGAAATAGGTACAACACCATACGCCGGGGCTGGTGGCATAATGAGGGGGCTCACACAAAATGGATGCACCGTAAGACTGGCACCCATGTTCGAAGGGAAAGGTGCTTGGGAGCCACAGACAAGCAGTTTCTTTTTGCCTGGGGTGTTAATCTGCGTAGCTAGGGGTTTTTGTCGGTGTAGCCCTCAGAGCACGCCCCTCCCCCAAAAGAGGCTGGTCGGGGCCGTCCAGGCTGGAGTAATCAGGTAGACGCAGGGGCTGGAGCTACCGTACCTGGGGGCGGCCCGCCATACTTCCTCTGCCCGTTCACCTGCACCAGTCGGATACCCGTCTCCCTGACCCACGCCTCCAGCGCCGCCTTGTTCTCTGGATTCACCTTCTCACACCATAGCTGAGGGAAAGGGCATAATGGAACCCTGGTTCGCCCCGTCCACCTCTGCTTCGCTCCTGGAGCTGGGACCGCTATATTTTCCCCCTCTCCGAGCAGGTGGTGGGTAACGGCACCCCCTTTGTCACCAGCTACTCACCTCACACTCCCGCTTGGACTGCATGGCTCACCCGCTGGCCCGCTCGTACCCTCTATAACTTCCTCCCCAAAGGCCTCTGGAAGTTTCCCGTCCGTCCATCCCCCAAACTCTCATTGGCTCTGATCATGACCCCGCCTTCCAAGGGGTGGGGATATCCACCGCACGTGCGCCATGGGCCTTCGGACCCGCAGGTGAAAGCTATAAACTCTAGTGGGTGCGTGTGCATGCAACCCCACCCCCTAAGAAGTGGCTCACTAACGTACTGGGTGGAAGCTGGCGGCGAGAACCCAGGAATACCATTCATCCTGGGGAAGGGGCTACTATAAAGCTTTCTCATTTTCCACCACTAAAGTGGCCTGAATGAGAGGGGTCCCAGGCTGCGGTGGGGAAGGCTGGGCTAGGGGCCAGTGACACAGGCAAGATCCAGTAGTTGAAGCGTTTTATTGGACCTTTGCCCATCGGTTGTGGGGAGGCAGTCCCTCCATCTTGTGCAGTAGAGGCCAGCAGACCAAATGAGGCCCCCAGGGCCATCCTGTGAAACGGTGTAGCACTTGGGCCATTTTGCCAGTGATTACCAATAAAATAATTATAATAATAAAAAGTCTCTGCTCTGACCATTCTTCAGGTCTTCCTGCCAGAACAGAAATATGCAGAGCTGTTGAAGTACATACGCAGTTTTGTCTTAGCCCCAAGTAGTGCCAGTTTCACTATGCTCTGATAGTTTCCTCAGTTCAGCAGATGCATAGGGGCTGGCTTGTTCTCTTTTTGATTTCCTCCACAAGGTCTTCTCTTCTGACGTCCACCTGGGCAGGATGGGGGAAGGGAGGAGAAGGTGGTATGAGCATCTTCCACTCTAAGGCTTCCTGAAAACCCACTCCTTCCTAGTCATGCGACTTGGCTCAGCTGGGAGCAGGAACCTATCTAACATCCCAGGATAGACAATGCCTCGGGGGAGCCAGAAATACAGGATAGACAGGGTGATGGAAAGGTTACCCTACTGTGACCACAGTAGCAGATGCCATTTATTAAGCATGTACTGTGTGTCAGGCCATTAAGTCCTTTATGAGTAGGTACTAATATGAATGCTAGGCTTTTTTGCTCAGGTCTTTAACAGGCAGGGGCTGACAACATGCAACACATTCCCTCTCCCTCAGCCTTCCTGCCTACCCCCTCACCTCTTCCCTGCGAGCCACTGAACGGAGCTTGATGACCCCATCCTTGAGTTCCTGCTCTCCAATAATGGCCACCAGTGGGATGCCTGCCTCCTCACAGTACTGCAACTGGTTCAGTAACTTCGGGTTCTTCTTGTAGAGCAGCTCAGCCTGCAGAGGACAGAACAGAAGAGAGCTTCTGCAGCTCTCAGGCCCAGGTTGGCACCTTGTTCTTAGTTCTATCCCAAGAAATCACTATATATGAGCTTTTATTTAGCCTGGGCTCAATACTCCCAAGTTGGCTGCTATGTGGGGCTTGCCTTCTGTACCTTGATCCCAGCATCCCATAGCTCTGAGACGAGCTTCAGTCTCTCCTCTAGCAGCTTCTTTTGTGCAGATGCCACAAGCACCTGTGTCTCTGTGGTCCGTACCTTCTCCTCCAAAGCCTGAGGACAGGGTAGATAAGAGTTACAGCTCGGTTAGCCTTCACAACACCTTCAAGGAGCAAACAGAGCAGGCTCCAGTCAGGATTTTCAGAGACTGGGCCCAACTCAGCAAGCTCCACCAGGGCAGGGGTCTACTTTTCTCATCATCTGGCTATTGGACTAGACAGGATAGCTCTTAGAAAACAAAATAAATGAACTGACTGGGTTGTACACATGACTTATCAAAATAAATAGCTGAGGGCAAGGGTAAAGGTAGCTTAATTACAGTAACCTTGAGCTCATCTCCATCTAGAGCTCAAAAGAATGGTCACCCAGAAGTGACCCTATTAACCCAATCCTGGGCAATCAAACCATCTCTGGTAGTTCTGGTCCCTACTTATTACCTGCCCACTAAAGACCATGTCTCTTCTGCTTCAGCTACAGGGCACAACTCAGGGTATGTGTGTTTTGGGGAGAGAATACTGCTGCTGCCCCCTTTTTCTGGAAAATGACTCTCACAGTTGTTACTGATTAGTGTCCCCCCAGAATATGTGTTGGAATTTTAACCTCTATACTTGCGAATGTAATCCTGTTTCAAAATAGGGTTCTTCTGTGTTATGTTAATTAGGTCATACCCTAATAGGGTGAGTTCTAAATCTAATCATTTTTGAGTTCCTGAAAGGGCAGATTAGACAGATATACTGCATTTTTGCAAATAATGTGCCCATGCATATAATATGCACAGCATACACAGGAAACTAATGTGTGAGGGGATTGCAGAGTTAGGGAAAACTGTATATAACACATGCATTACTTGTGTAAAAATACTGTATACACACATATGTGGCAAAACATATGCCCTGTGAGGACCATCTACAAGCCAAGGAACCAAGGAACTCCTGGGGCTACTGAGAAGGAAGAACTGACCCAGCCAAGAACCTGATTTGGACTTTTAGCCTACAGTACTGTGAGAAAACAAATTTCTATTCTTTAAGCCACCCAATTGTGGTATTTCTGTTATGACAGCACTAGGAAACTAAGACAATAGTTCTTACAACATAAAATGCCTACTAGAACAGTGACCTCATTTGGGAAACATGGGTGGTTCCAATCTAGAGAAGGGATGGGACCAATGAGAAGGTTACTGCAACAGGATCCCCTACAGGATGAAAACAACCAGCCAGCTAAGACAGTGGCAACAAAGGAGGGCTTGAGGCCATGTGGGGCTTCCCTAGTATTACTACAGGTGCTAGAGAGCCAAGTCAGGCTTCAGAGAGATACCAGGGCTCAGATGCATACTTGACCAAAGCAGCACCATTTGCCCTGTTGGAATTCAAAGACTGCTCCGGTGCTGTCACCTGCCTAGACCTTTTCTACCTAATGCCTAGGACCTACCTACCTCCAGCCTCTGCTCCACGATGGAGAAAATCCGTTCCACCCCAATGCTGAGCCCCACGCACGGCACCTTGCGCCCTTTGGGGTCAAACATGCCAACAAGTCCATCATAGCGCCCACCAGCAGCCACACTGCCCACGCCCACGGGCTCTTCCCCTGCTTGGGCTGGGGTCTGTAGCAGCACTGCCTCATATATCACCCCGGTATAGTAGTCCAGTCCTCGAGCAAGGCTCAGGTCAAAGGAGATCTGTGGGGACAAGGACATGGTCAGTACCAGATGAGAGTCAGGACCTGAAGCCCCAGAACTAACCTAGGGACACTTTGTTGTTCCCAATTTGACTCACCTTGTCAGCAATGCTAAACAGCGTCAAATACTCAAACAGCAGCTTCAGGTCTCCGAGGCCCTCCAAGGCCTGCTTGTTTTGGGATAGTTTAGGATCCTGGAGCAGCTGCTCCACAAGGGATACTCCACCTGAGGTGACAGATTCATGAGCCAGACTGACTGACAAGGTAGGGACCCTGCCTTCTTTTTTCTTTTTTTAATTGTGATCTGGGTGGAAATTTATAGAGCAAATTCACTTCCACACAGCAGTTCACATACACTTTGTCTCATGACATTGACTGTAATTCACCCCAATGCAACAGCTCCCCTCCCACTTCCTCCCCAGTTACCTCTTCCCTGTGTCCATCCCTCCATGCACTCCTGCCCCCTGAGCTGTCTCCCTGTGCATAAGCAGCCCTTCTTTCTCCCATGCTTGTTCTCTCCAAGGAGTGTATCTACCTCAGGGAAATGTTCAACACATACACCTGTCTTTTGTTTGGCTGGAAGCCACAGGTGTGTGTTTAATTCCAGACCTGAAGGACAGTTAGGGGCCATAGTCTCAGTGGTTCCACCAGGCTCTATCAGACCAGCAAACCTGGTCTCCCCCACTTTTTTTTCACAAATGATTTTGAGTTTTGTCCACATTGTTCTCCCTCTCTATCTTGGATCTCCTACATAGATCCCCCTCCAAGTGGATGACAGTAGGAGCCAGGCACCATCTAGTTCTTCTGGTCTCATACTTGTATAGGCTGCGGATCGCATGGTGTACCAGTTGCTAAGACTAATTATTTCCATGAATCTTTGGTTTTCTTTATTCGTCTTTGCTCTGAACAAGGAGAGACCCATCGTTCCATCTAGATGGCTGCTTGGAAGCTTTTAAGATCCCAGTCGCTACTCGCCAAAGTAGGATGTGGAACAATGTTTTATGTAGTATGTTATGCCAATTGAGCTTGATGTCCCCTGTGACTATGGTCCCAAGCCCACTGGTTCAACTACTCAGTCCCTCTGGGTAGCTGGCTGTGACCAAGAAGTGACTATAACCTTGTCCTTTGTCAGCTCTACTATATACCTGGGAATTCTTACAGCTCATACAAACACACTTATAGGACCATTGCCTGCCAATCCTATATATGGTCTTGGGTACACTCCCTGGTTCATAGACATACCTAATAGTTCAGCCTGTCTACCCATCTATCCACCTGTATACCCATGTTTGCCTCCACTGACAATGCAGTACTGTATGTGCAAAACGGATCATCATCTTTGTTGTCTGTACCTCCCATGTACCTCTCTCTGTCTTCCTCTTCCTCAATGCCATCATGTTGATCACTCACATTTGGTATATTGCTCTTCTCTTCACCCAATACTTATCTCTACCTAACAATGTCCCCTCCCCTCCCCTCCCACCCCTGGTAACCAACAAAGAAAATTTCCTTCCATACGTAAACCTTTCCTTGACTTTTACAATAACAGACTAATATAATATTTATCCTTCTGTGATTGACTTCTTTCACTCAGCACAATGTCCTCCAAGTTCATCCACAGTACGCAGTATTTTACAGATTCTACATTATTCTTTAGGGTTGCATAGTATTCCATTGTGTGTATGTACCATACTTTGGTTATCCATTCCTCAGTCAAATCTAGGTTGTCGCTATCTTTTGGCTATTATGAACAGTGCTACGATGAACATGAGTGTGCATATATCTGCTCTCGTCATGGCTCTCACTTCTTTAGGATATATGCCTAGTAATGGAATGGCTGTGTCAAATGGTATTTCTAATTCCAACTTTTTAAGGAATCGCCATACCACTTTCCACAGTGGTTGTACCATTTTCCAGTCCCACCAGCCCAGTATGAGAGCCTGAATCTCTCCACATCCTCGCCAGCATTTGTTATTTTCTGTCTTGTTGAACTTTGCTACTAGTGCTGGGGCAAGACGGTAACCTACTGTTGTTTTGATTTGCGTCTCTCTAATAGCTGTTGTTGTTGTTGTTATGTGCCATTATGTCGAACCCGACTCACAGTGACTCCTCCTTGGGTTTCCAAGGCAGTATCACTACGGAAGTAGATTGCCCCATCTTCCTTCCGAGGAGTGGCTGGTGGGTTTGAAC